GAAGCAAATTAATTTATTTTGTGCACGTATTGGTGGAACAGTGTCACAAACAGTTCTTCAATAGTGATATGTTTGTCAGAGATATAAGTGAAATATTTAATTAAAATATTCTACAGTAAGAATTTACTTTTCGAATATTAACTTTATTTTTGTTCTCAATGAGTAGTAATTATTTTCGATTCATTAAAAGTAACAACAACAAATTTTCCGTATGAAAATATGACAGAAATAACTATATTGAATTTTCTTGGTGTGGGTGTGGGTGTAGTTGAAAATGATATCAGGCCACACTCACACCCACACCTCCCCATTATCTTGAGAAGAAAACATCCATTTGCACTGAAACTTTCAGGATATGTTAAAGACCACGGGGCTTACATATGATAAAAATTTCGGCTGGAAATTCCTCCATTTAGAGGTGGACATTGCCGGTAGATTTTCGAATTTTTCTGGGATTTTTTGGGTTTTCTGGATTTTTGCCAGATTTTTCATGGATTGTCAAACCCGAAAATCTGCCGTCTCTTCTTGCATCGGGCTCGATAATTCTACAATATTTGAACAATCTTCAAGTGATATCATATTAGCAAGAATTTTGGTGCACTAAACTTTATTGCTACTTCCATAGATTTTCTCTTTGAGAATAAACAAGAATTAATTACACATACAGAAAAAAAGCAAACTAAGTACGGGTATTTTACATGTACAAATGCATCTAGATACTAGAGAAGTTGCAAAAGGTAAAGAAAAGAAGGAAAAGGGGTGAGAGAATTCAAAGAAAAAAAAAAGAGGAAAGCATAAACAACATACCTAAAGCAGTATATCACGGTGTTTTCAACGTAGATCATAATATGACTGAAAGTATTCACTTCTCTTCGAATGGATGAAGGATAATTTGGTTTCTATATTAAAGTGTGTTCTGCATTTCCTAGTGAAGTAATAGTTATTCATCATGGATTATATATTGTCTTTGATGATGAAGCTCACCCTCTAAAAACTGTTCAAAGATGGTGAAAATGGTTTTGTGACAGTACGAGTATGGAGAATGATTACAATCACAATACCGACATTCACACTACACACCTAGACTAACATCAAACATACATTCACACCCATACTCAGTCACAGCCGTACCTAAACCCACGTACCCACACCCTCAAGTCTATCATTAATTTTGTAATTTGTTGTCTAAGAATAGGGCAAGTGAATATAAAACTACGGACGTCAGCGTGGGTCATGTTTTCATACGAAGTCACAACTGATCCTATTTTATTTTATTGATTGAGATTTGTGAAAAAAAAATTGAAAATGATAAAAATATTCGAACTTTAAAAGTTACGTTACGTACAGAAACGGAGTTTATCGTCTACGAGAGTATGCTTTTATAAATGTTAAGTAAAACATCATAAACAGTAAACTAAGCCAAGCTTTGAAATGAGAAACCGATTTACTTTTGATGATTTCGTTTTATTTTCATACATGGAGGAAAAAGTGACATTCTTTTAAAAAAATGAAAAAACATTAAAAGTAAGCAAAGTTGAAAGTAATCAACAGTAAAGTCGAGTACAATTTTAGAAGGAAAGAATTTCGTATCCTAGAAAACCATTGTCAGCATATTCAAAAAAAAATAGAAACAGTGAGAAAAGTATATCCATCGACAGACATAAATTTCTCATCTTTTCGATTGTGATCGATATGCGATGCAGTTTTACATAAGTGCACTGCATTTTCTATCGGACTAGATAGAGCATTTTTTCTGTTTACTTGATATTTTACTGAAAACTTTTGACAACTTATAAACAAAAAAAACTCAAGCAACAAACAATTTTAAAATTATTTATGAAAACAATAATAAAAATTAAAATAATTAGAAAATTTTTAGAAATAAAAGTAATAATGAAAATTACAGAAAAAAGAAGTTGCAAATTCTTTTGGAACTAAAAAAAAAGCAAAAAAAAACAATTTTAACAAAGTAATTCTTTACCAGTTACAGTCATTAAAAGCAGAAAAGTACATCAAAACAACGTTTTAAAACATTGCAAAAAATAAAAAGTATTTTCCATGATTAAAACTATATCAAAAAAATAAGAAAAATTCTATCTCGAATTCGGATTCCTTCATATCTCTTAAGCTTTTTTAAATAATGCTTTGAAAATGTAATTTTTATTTTTATTTGTTGTTGAAGGAGTGACTATTAGCCAAACTTTCATAGAGATTTCTTTGTATATATAGTATTAACCCCTAAGTTTCTATGCTAGCGGATAACCGATGATGATGGCTAACGAAGAATCAATTATCATTGACTGATAGCGGAGAAAAAGAAAATTAGAAAATTTGTCACAATATGCAGTTTCTCATTATTCTTTACTAATTTCAACACGCTGCACAGCTGTTGAAAAAGTGGCGAGATGGGTTGTTTTTCTTTATAATTGCTCAGCAAATTTTGTTTAGACAAATAGCAATATTTTCAAAATTAATATAATTTTACGAGTAAAATTCAATGATGAGTTAGCTTCTGTCTATTCCAATTACTGTCGACAGTATTCTTCTGCCTTCTATCTACAATTCAATACTACTCTCTCGTCCCTCTCAAAAACAAAACGCATTACAAAATAGAATGAATAGACTTTATCAATATTTAATCACTTTTGTTTTCTTGCTCGACTTTCACTTCAACACAGCAAAATATGCTTATAGCTGGAAAAAAAAACAACGATTGTTTTTAGTTATTTTTCCTAATCAAAGTTTAGGAAGCGAGAGCTAGATTGAATGAGTAAGAGGAAATCTGTTAAAAATATTGAAAATACAAGACAGTCGTCTGAACTGTTCATACTGATTCAGAGTATCAGATTAGTTTCGAAGAAAACGATGTTTTTCCACATACAAACAACCGGATTCCATGAAGGTGAAGCAAGTTTACACCGCTCGATTGATGCATCCAACTTTAATTAGGCTTTTCTTCGATTAAACTTCAACATCCGAGTGATAGTATTTAAAAGCACAAACTTATTTTTTTCTTCAAATTTTTTTTCTATTTTATCTATCATTTACTTTTACTTTTTATACTTTCTTTTGTAAAATACCAATAGCACAAAAAGTTCACTAAAAATGTTCTATATTTTTTTTGCTATGGTTACAGTAAGTTCAACTAACCCAGTAAAGCTATGTGAAAAAAAAAAATTTTTTTTTTCAACCTACTTTTTTTCTAGAAATTCAATTATCCTAATTACATCTGAGAAATTTATTGTTAAGAATACAATATTTTTTACGGTAAAATTACTTGCATATTTTTTCGATTTTAAGAAATTTTTTCATTCTGTTAGAAATATAACACCAATATCTATTCAGATGTGTTATGAACGATTGTATCCAATGAGTGTTTTTTTTCTTTGTTTCATGACGACATTCAACAATGGAATGATCGTAAAATAAGTAGAGCCTGACAACAGTGAAAAGCAAGAAAATAGGACATCCTGAGTTCATTTCGTAAACCTATCTGGTATTTTCAATGGAAAAGATATAATTGAGTGTTATACACCATTAGATATGCTAAGTGTCAAATTTCAAAACAATAGATTTGATGTTGCATAACATTACTATTTGAAAGAATAACTTGATTGACAATCTCAAGACCTGAATTTATGCCAGTAATATGCAGTTTTCGTCAGTAAAACTTAGTTATTCTGCGAGAAAAATGCAAAATTTGGAATTAGTATAAAGAAAATGAAAGAGTCAAGTTACCTTGGAAAGTTTTTACTCACTTTTAACCTCTTCATAAAAGTCTATGATCTTTGATTATGCTGAGAAATCGTCAAAATGTCAAAATATTGAAAAAACAGCCGAAGACGTTCTACTCGATTCAATGTTCTATGCTAAATTTAAATAAGGTACTTTTCCCGCAGGATAAATACAATCATGGATAAAAGTCTCGCTACAAGAAAAAACCTTTATAATCATCTCTCATATATTCTCTCATTCATGTTATGAAACATATTTCTAACGTTTCAGATTAATCGGTACTATCATCAATTATATAGATGTATCGACGATTAAACAACGCCTAGAAGTCAGAAAGTATTTTACCTTGATTTGAAATTGTCTAAAGCAGCAGACACAAACTCCTGGTTCAATATCAGTGAGATATAATTTAGTCATTGTGAAATATGAATGAAGTAACGTAAAAGTAGACTTGCATTGAGTCAGAACTTCCAGGCGTGGGTCATTCTCTGGATTCCGTCACTTCGTCACTTCTTGGGCTCAGCGTTCTTGAGGTTAAACAGATACTAAGTTTTGACTCAATCCAAATCTTCCACTTAATCTTATACAAATTGACTAGCATATGAAATTGACTAGGGAATTTCTAGGTAAAGTAAAAAAAGGCTGAGGCATTTGAATCGTGTTTTTCGAGAAAATAATTATATTTTCTAAGGATTGACGAAAGTGAATCGCAATTATAGAATTCGAATCTGCAGTTAGATTTTCAAAATTTTGAATTGAGATTTTCGATTAGGAGAAAGGTTTTTGAGAAAATAAAGATATCTAATAAAGGTAGACGAAACTAAATCCGATATGAAGAACTAGAATCTGCAATCATATTACTTCAAATTCAAGTTCGTTTGCTTATACATGGTTTTCTAAAAAAAACTCTGATGTGGGTGTGGGTGTGTGAGTGTGGGTGTGGGGGGGGGGGGGTGGGGGTGGGTGGGGGGGGGGGTGTGGGGGGGGGTGGGGGGGTGGGGTGTGGGTGGGGGTGGGTGGGGGTGTGGGTGTGGGGTGTGGGTGTGGGTGTGGGTGTAGGTATGAAGGAGTTAAGGCAAAATCCACACCCTCATACCCACACCCACATATATACATATTATGTACACAAATGAATCAATTATGATCATAAAAAGGAGAAACACGTTATGTTTTTCTTGGTTATTAGCTATAAGATAAATCAAATCGAAAGAGGACTCTTCGACGGAGTCCTGAATGTATATAATAATTTTTTTTCTCTATTTCAGATGTCTACTTCTCATAAAAATCGTTATCATTCATCTGCATATCATTATCAAGAAAAATCTTCATCAATTGTTAAATCACAATCGGATACAACATATTATTATCGCCGTCAACATCATTACATATCTCCATTAGAAAAACTTGATAAACTTACACAAAGATATTGTCCAGGAAAATTAAAAAAAAATAATGCACTTAAGGATTTATACAATAATGGGAAATGTGGAAAATTTGAATTACCTCCATCGTTATTCAAAAAGTTTTACATCAATCGTCAAACATCAATTAGTGTTTTAAATGATTTAATCGATTATACTCTTCATATTAAAAATTATATGATCGACAGAGCTGGGACCGGTTCGGTTTTTAACCGAACCGAACCGACCGACCGTGACCGAAATCGGTTCGGTTGGAGATTTTTAGAGAATTCGGTCGGTTACGTTCGGTTCGGTTAGAGACTTTTTCGGTTACGGTCGGTTCGGTTAGAAATTTTAAAAAATTCGGTCGGTTATGTTCGGTTCGGTTAGAAAGAATCAACATAATCGTTTCATTTGAGTTCAATGGACTTTTTCAGTGAAACATAAGAAGAAAAAAGAATATAATCGTACAACAACTAGCTGTTGCTCGCAACGCGGATTATCTCACATATTTTTTTAAATTTGCCCTGAGAGGTAAGGAAGTTATAATACAGTAAGAAGATCCAATAAATAATCTTTATTCTTTGCTTTCTCTAAGTGTTCATTATTTTTAGTTGCTATTTTTTGATTTGTTGTTGCTAATTTATAAAGCACTAATACCCTAACTAAAATAAGCTAAACTTCGCTTTCTCTAAACTCGGTTCGATTACGAAATTTTTGAAATTCGGTCGGTTACGATCGGTTCGGTTAGAAATTTTTAAATATTCGGTCGGTTACATTCGGTTCGGTTAGAGATTTTTTCGGTTACGGTCGGTTCGGTTAGAAATTTTAAAAAATTCGGTCGGTTACGTTCGGTTCGGTTAGAGATTTTTTCGGTTACGGTCGGTTCGGTTTGGCAAAAATGCCAACCGATCCCACCTCTGATGATCGATACGGAAGATCAATTAAATAAACCACCTCAACCATCTGATCCTGCACTCATTCAAATCCAATTTATTCACGAAAACGATCCATCAATTATTTTATTAATAGAAGTATTTCATTTACCCCAGAAAATTCATTTACATTTAACAAAATCAAAAAACTATGCAAAACTAGATTTTCACCAGATCATATCGTTAATTGCTGGGGTGATTCAAAAAAAGAATTAAAAAAATTTTACAATTTAAATTATTTGATAATAATGACATTGATTTAATAACACCAAGAAATACCAAGGACATATTCAAAGATTGGTTTAATCGTACTTATCCACAATCAATTCATATTCAAGATGGTGTTAATGACCAATATACATTACAATCAGCAATTTATATAACATTTAATGAATGGCTCGACAAGAGAATGACCCTTGCAAATTGGGGCTGTAGTATTGATTTATTATTACAAACTTATCGATCAATGAATTATTATGATGACATAAAAGATAAAAAATTTTATGATGAAAAACAAATACGTCAATAAATGGAAACTTATGCAATGAACGAGTCTTTTTCAGTTAGAAAGCTAAGTCAAATAATGAAACCGCTTGAACCATCTAAACCACCATTAGCAGATAATAATATTTATAGTTTAGATTACGAACCAACAGAAGAAGAAATACAACCAGATGAATTATTAAATGATAATTATACAGTTGAATCAGTTCATGTTCTAGATGAACGGACAACCCATGTCGTGAGAATCACCGCGATTTTCGCGATTTTCTAAAAAATTGGCGTAAAATCATGATTTATCGTATTTCTTTAAAAGATCGACGATTATATCAGATTTTATCGCGATTATGGAAGAAGAGCTGATTTTCAAAAATCATTGATAAATCATGACAATTATTCATTCACCGTTTTGTTATGAACACACATGGATATATAAGCAACGCCGTTCAATGCATAACAAATAAGTTTTCGAAATATACTTTTCTGATAAATTATTTCTTGGTTATTTTTAATCAAAAAAATGCCAATCCCGATCCATGATCTGGAGAGGACTACACTGAAGCGGTCTGATAAGAATCGGACCAGCTCGAGATTGGACAGATCGAGCGATCTGATCGGCTTGGATCTTGAGAAAAAAAAATTGAATTAAATTCAAGAAAAAATCCAAATATGTGTCTCCCAAAGAACCAATGAAATAGTAGAAAATATCTGTAAACAGACGGTTAAATCTTGCATAAAATCACGATTTATCGTAAAAATCGCCGAAATCATCGGGAATAATCGGCGATTCTGTCGCGATTCAGCTCACGATTATCGTTTCGATGAATCGGGATTAATCGGCAATTTTTAGCCGATTCAAAGGACATGGGAACTGTCAACGATATAATTAGGGATGTGCAGTTTCAGTATACTGACCACCGATAAAATCACACTGACGTTCACCGGTGCGCTGATGACACTGACACTGTGCGCACTGTCTGCAGTGACACACTGACACTAAGCGCACTGTCCGCAGTGATACACTGATAGTGATCGCACTGTCTGCAGTGAAGCACTGACACTAAGCTCACTGTCTGCAGTGACATACTGAAACTGAGCGCACTGACTGCAGTGGTCTGCACCGACATTTGTGTTCACGGGACCAGTGTATACACTGACACTGACTGCACTTGTTGCGCTGACGCATACTGGAATAGGGTGTGTGTGGCTGTGTGTGGGTGTGGGGTGTGGGTGTGGATGTGGGTGTGGGTGTAAGTGGGTGTAGGTGTTGGTGGGTGGGTGGGGTGTGAGGGTGGGGAGATCTTTCTGGTGGGTGTGGGTGAGTGGGGTGTGTATGCAGGTATGGGTGGATGGGTGTGGATGTGGCTTTTCCAAGGGGGAAACGGCGGACTTGAAGTAGAAAAGTACGCCAAAGTACGTCAAAGTAGACTACTTGAAGTATCTCAAAGTACCACCCAAGTAGTCCAAAGTAGGAACAAGTAGCTTAAAGTAACTTCAAGTAACTTCAGGTAAATTTGAAGTTGAAAAGTACTTCAAAGTAAGCTACCTCTAGTAGCTGAAAGTAACTTGAAGTAGCTTAAAGTAGCTCAAAGTAACTTCAACTCCAAAAGTCCGCCGTTTCCCCCTTGGGCTTTTCTCTTCATCTGCACCCACAGCGACGCCCTCACCATCACCCATATCCACCATCACCCATACCCCATACCCACATTCACCCACACCTTTTTAACACACTCAGAGTAGTAAATTAATTAAAGCGTTAACGCAGTAAAAAACCATTCGACGTTTTTCAAGAAAATGATCAATTGCATCATTTACAATTCTAACAAATTTTGATGATAAGGGTGGGGTGTGGGTGTGTATGTCGTTGAACACATGACCCATACCAATACCCACCCTCGACATTCCACATACCATCCTCATTGTATACAGCGATTCTTGCGCTACTGAATCGAGCGACTTCGTTATATGTTCCAATTCTGTACTTTTCCCTTCTAATCTTAGAAAACTTCATTTGATAACAAATAAGAAGCTTGAAATCGCTTAGAAACTATCTATCTATCTCACTCAATGTCGATTCAAATGCAAGACAATATTACAGTTCTCGCTGAAGTTTTTCCAAGAGGGAGCGGTTTCGAAGAAGAAATGGATCATCACATGTCAAAACCTTGGTTAGAATATCAACAGTCTGCTGAAGATGTGACACTGCTTCGACAATACGATTGAGAGCATACAAAGTTAATGCTATGTTCGAGTGTGTTACAGCAAGAGACGGATGATCAGATGGTAGCGAGTGTTGTTCAATGTTCAATGCTTTGAATTCGAATCTAAGTGCTATTTCATATTCATTCAAATCATCATAAATCGAAGCTATATTAGCGTAGGTTATGGCTAAATCAGGATGCAAAGCTGGCAGATATTTGATTTCCAGTTCCAAACACTCTTCATACATATGCAATGCTTTCAGCAATTTTCCTTGAAATCGCAGTACGCCAGCAATATTATTTCGAACAGCACTAACAGCTTCGATATTAATTTGACCGAGTTGATTGATTAAGGAGAGCGCACATTCATATTCACCGAGTGCATCCGATGAATGTCCTTGTTCTTCTAACGTTGAACCAATACCATTGTGGATCAAGGCTAGTCCCAGGAGATCTGTTGGAGATTTTAGAGCGAGTGATTCTTTGTAATGTTCGATCGCCATTGCATAATCTCCAATCATGGCGTTGATCACTCCCAATTGATGGTGAAAATAAGCTCGTTTTCTATGACATTCATCACGTAAACTTGAGGCTAGTGATACTTCAATCAAAGGTTTTACCATTTTCCATTTGCCCATCTCCATCAGTAGGTTCTCCAGACGATTCCAACCAGTGGGACCTTCGATCCTTTTTCGTATATGATCTGTAAGTGCATGCAATTGCTGATCATTTTCATGCGTCATGGTTAAATTCACACGCCAACTACCATCATCCATATTTTCTTCAATTGATTGAATACGAAACACACTATGCATAGAAAACAAGATTTCTTCTTCATCAGCAATAGCAGAATTGTGAGTAAGAGAAGCATACGGACATCGTGACATACTTTTGTCAACAATAATATCGAAAAGAACAGCCACACTATTCGGATCGTTACGAAGAACAAATATCTCCGCTACGGCTGCATTTTCACTGGTTGAGAGAAAGCTATTGAATGAAAGAAGACCACCAACTTTGTTTCTGATCTTGGAATCGAATTCTTTTCGATCCATACCTTGACCTCGATAAACATGAAAGCAAGTAGGAGACCCTGATGATATAGTGTTGGAATGAAAATGTTCGATCTGTTTGTGAAGATGACGTAGGACGAAAGTCATTCGAACTAAAATTTCAATATCCTGACTTCTTAACGAACGATTGAGTAATTCAAAGAAGAAACATGGCTGACTATACCAATAAATCACACGGTCTTGACAATAATCGCGTTCAAATCGATCGATGGTTTGTAATGTAGCAATATTATCAGCGTATTCATATCGACAATAGTCGACGAAATCCTGTTTTGCTGTTTCATCATCGTATTCAAGTTCAAGAAGGATTTCTTTTAATAATACTGAATACATGAATGATGAATCAAGCTGATTGGCACTGATTGAGGTAAATGCCATATCAGTGCATCGTCTCTTCTCTTCAAGAAGTAACTTTGTTAGAACTTCTATATTATCGAATGAGATATATTTAGTCTTGCCATGATTCATGTGCTGCTGATTAGTCAATTGTCTATCATAAAGAATATGAATTTCATGTACTTGGTGCATGTGTTCAACCAATGGTACTAGTTCATCTTTGCGATTGGAAGAAATAATCAGATGGCTTCTATGGTTCGTAGTGTTCATAAGAAAATCAATGCATTCATTGACATCAGAAAATATTTTGGTACAATCAATGACATTTTGAAGATGATTGATTTTCTCTCGCTGTATAGTTAACGTCTCTGTGTCAATGAATAGAACTATGATAAATATACGGCTATCGCTCGTTTCATTTTCACATAAAGTCGAAATATCTTTGTTAATATAGGACGACCGAAGATATTTCCAATTGTGAGGTATTGGTGGCCAAACTTGCTCATAAGAGGTGAGAATGAAATTATTCGGCACTATCGATGGTACATCTCTTCGATTTCGACGTGAAAAACAACCATATTTTTGCCACCATCTTTGCAGCATTGATCTTATACGCGTTATTTTTGCTTCAACCACGTGGACAGACGAGTGTTTCAGATAAGACTATTTGCATGCACAATGATATCGAGATGATTCAGAGTAGAATTTTGTACAAGAACGCAAAATTTCTTCAACTCTTCGAACGAAGGGTGTGGGCGTGGGTGTGGGTGTGGGTGTGGGTGTGGGTGTGGGTGGGGTGTGGGTGTGCCCCAGGTGATTCGATCCGACTGTCGGATTACGTCGGATTATATCGGATTATATCGGAAAAATTACCGGATTTTAACGGATCCGACGGGAACTCGTCGGAAGTTGTCGGCGTCCTAGCCACAGGATTCCGACAGGAGGTTCCGGATGTCGGAATAATCAGGATCCTGCGAAATCCCTGAAACTTCGACACTTTCCGACATCCAGAACCACTTGTCGGAATCCTGTGGTTAGGATTCCGACAAATTCCGGCGAATTTCTATCGGATTTGACAGGGTGAATTCGACCTGGGTGGGTGGGTGTGGGTGTGGGTGTGGGTGTGTGGGTGTGTGGGTGTGTGGGTGTGGGCGTGGGTGTGGGCG